ATTTACCGCTAAAGTTTTATGTGCATCTCTTTAGTAAGCGGAGGCGAAGAACTTAGTGTTTATAAGCTAAAACCGAAAGTAGTAGCGCTAAATTCTAAAACTGCTTAAATTTATTTAATCTTTGGTATTCGCTTATTTATCTTTTGGTCATTATGACAAACATTTGTACATGTTTAATCGGTAAACTTAATTATGTTCCCCAAACGAAGTTTGGGAACATATTGTTTTTACTCTGTTTCTTATTATTATTATTATTATTAGGGTCTTCCGTCTCCAACGGAAGACCCTTCTATTATTCTATTGTTTCTTTTTCACTTTTATTATTATTATTATTATTATTATTCTTTTTTTTTCTTTACAATTTTTGTGCAGAAGATTTCTCGGAGTTGGCTCGATCGATTTACTTGAAAATTTCAGGGAAGATGTATCTTTGTCTGAACCTTATACGTTTTTTTCATTTTTTTGAAATTCACTTCCGGTCGGAAGTTATCGCCCTTTAATCAAAATTCAGAGGACCTCCTTGTCTGCAATGGAACTCAAAAACGATTAAAGCTAGAGTGCTGAAATTTTCAGCGATGATAGAGGACATGTTGCCATTGATCACCTGGGTTTTCAAATCTTCCGGAAGTGCCTAGTATGGAAGCTCGGTAGGGGTCAAAATTTAGGACACGAATCATGAGTGAATTTTAGAGACATTTCTTAAGATAACTTTTTAACTATGAGTATTTTGTTAAACCATATTGAACGGAAATTGTGTAGAATTACAAGATCTTTTATATGATATCAAAGAAAAAGGGCTGACTCATCACATTAGGGGCTGAGAAGGGCCAAAAGTCTTTAATCAATAACTCTATAACGATCAATATTTTGTGATGCATTACTGAAGCAAAAATGTTTATCTCAACAATTTACAACTATATATTATGATATTCACATCATATGTTACATAATTAAGGGCCATAAGGGGCCAGAATGCTAAATCTTTGACGCTTTATATCTCAAAAGTGGGAAATATTTTGATAAGCAATATTGAACAAAAGATGTCCAAAATAATGTTCTAAACAAGATGCAACCTTTCATTTTTTGCTAAAGGTCCCCATTAAGGAGTTGAAGGGCCGGCCCCTAAATACTTCTTTTGCAAATATCTCAGAAACGAAAAAGAATTTCTGACTAGTTGTTGAACAAAAAGTGTTCAAAATCATAAGAGCTTTAAAGAGATATGAAGAAAAAGGGGCTGGACCCTCACAATAGGGGCTGAGAGGGGCTGAAAGTCTTTGAACAATAACTCTTTAACGATCAATATTTTGTAATGCATTACTGAAGCAAAAATGTTTATCTCAACAATTTACAACTATATATTATGATATTCACATCATATGTTACATAATTAAGGGCCATAAGGGGCCAGAATGCTAAATCTTTGACGCTTTATATCTCAAAAGTGGGAAATATTTTGAAAAGCAATATTGAACAAAAGATGTCCAAAATAATGCTTTTTACAAGACGCAACCTTTCATTTTTTGCTAAACGTCCCCATTAAGGAGTTGAAGGGCCGGCCCCTAAATACTTCTTTTGCAAATATCTCAGAAACGAAAAAGAATTTCTGAATAGTTGTTGAACAAAAGGTGTTCAAAATCATGAGAGCTTTAAAGAGATATGAAGAAAAAGGGGCTGGACCCTCACAATAGGGGCTGAGAGGGGCTGAAAGTCTTTGAACAATAACTCTTTAACGATCAATATTTTGTGATGCATTACTGAAGCAAAAATGTTTATCTCAACAATTTACAACTATATATTATGATATTCACATCATATGTTACATAATTAAGGGCCATAAGGGGCCAGAATGCTAAATCTTTGACGCTTTATATCTCAAAAGTGGGAAATATTTTGATAAGCAATATTGAACAAAAGATGTCCAAAATAATGTTCTAAACAAGATGCAACCTTTCATTTTTTGCTAAACGTCCCCATTAAGGAGTTGAAGGGCCGGCCCCTAAATACTTCTTTTGCAAATATCTCAGAAACGAAAAAGAATTTCTGACTAGTTGTTGAACAAAAAGTGTAAAAAATCATGGGAGCTTTATGGTAATATCAAGGAAAAGGGTCTGACCCCTTAAATAAGGGACCGAGAGGGGCCAAAAGTACACAATCAATAACTCTTTAATGATCAATATTTTGTAATATATTACTGAAGCGAAATAGTTCTTCTTCACACACTTTGTCTAAATAACATGATGTTGATATCATATGTTGCGCAACAAGGGGTCTTTAGGGGCCAGATTGCATAATCTTTGGTGCAATATGTCTCGAAAAGGAAGTATATTTTGATAAACAGTATTGAACAAAAGACGTTCAAAATAATATTCTGAACAATATGCACTCTTTGAATTTTTGCTAGACGTCCCCATTTAGGACTTGAAGGGCCGGCCCTTAATATTTCTTTTCAATATATCCCGAAAACAAAAAAGAATTTCTGAATAGTTGTTGAACAAAAAGTGTTCAAAGTCATGAGAGCTTTAAGATGTTATCAAGAAAAAGGGGCTGACCTCTCACATTAGGGGCCAAGAAGGGCCGAAAATCTTTAATCTATAACCCTTTAATGACCAATATTTTGTTAAACATTATTAAAGCAAAATTGTTCGTCTTAACAATTTATTTATATCATTATATTTAAACGAAAATCTCATTCAAACTCTTATCTCATCTTATCAAAAATCGGACGGAAGACCCACTCGTTGCTCGCAACGAGATCTCATCTAGTTATTATTATTATTCTTTTTTTCTACTTTCTTCTCCGGTACTTTTTTGTCCGGGAGTGTTCTCATAGAACCACTCATCCGATTGACATGAAACCTTTTTAGGGTTAATAGGCATGTTGTGTAGGTGTGTGGAACGAAGGTCATTTTGCGCGCACATGCATGCACGTGCGCGCGCGTGCAATGAGTGAAATGACTGATATACTTGATGAAGCCGTAACTTTTATATTTCTTGATCAATTGCTTTGAAACTCAAAATATAAAGATATATTAATAGTCTAGACAAGACAACATGGTCAAATTAGCGTGAACTCACGCGCATGCATGTGCGCTCTTCTCTGATTGGCTGATACAAAAATCTCAATAATTTCCTTGTTTTTTGACAAAATACTTTGAAAATTAGAAAATAAGTATATATTATAAGGTGCTACAACATGTTATATAGGAAATTTCTTGAAAACACGCGCATGCAGGTGTGCTGCAAACTGTTTGGTTGAAACTTTAAATGTCTTTAACTCCCTTGGTTTTTAACACAACAGGATGAAATTTAAGACATGGATAGGCACATAGAGCTCCTACATTATGATACTATCAAAATTGAATGCAAGGCCATGCATGCGCGTATGCTGAATTTTGATTGGCTAATACTTAAAGGGTTACATCTCTCTTATTTTTCAATGAAATTCTTTAATATTTAAAACAAATGTATGTATTGTGAGACACTATAAGATAATTAATGTAAAAAATGTAGCTATTAGATTGGCTCATACCCATATGGCTATATCGGAGTAGTTTTCCAATGAAATACCCTTAAAAATAAAGTGTCCATCTATATTACAAAAGTATTGTCTAATTTATTGAAGCTTGTAGGGAATGGGGCATCATAAGGGATTGGGGAGCCGTTTGGGGAACATCTGTAACGGTTCCCGTTACAATTAGCACTAGTTATTCTTTATTTTGGTAAAAAGTTTATTTTCTTTCATAAATGGATATTTCTCCGATAGTGTTCGTGACTTTGTTTATAAATAATGATGTTTACCTTTTTATACTTCGGATGTTGTTTATGACTACTACTGTTTGTAAACTTTATTATAATTGATTGATATTGATTTGTATTGAAAAGAACACTTTCCGATCTGGTCTGAAGAAATAAAGTTCATTATAATTCTACAGATTTGATTCTGTCTTTTTACATTTATACTGTGATTGTGATTTACTCACATCAGACACAGCTAATTCCCCAAATAATCACGGCGGTGAAAACCAGAGGGTGATATATTTACTAATGTTAATTCCTAAAACACATAGGTACCACCAACATCGAAGGTAGCCCAGAAACCATGTTAGAGGAAACGTCCGAGAGCCGAGCGCACCAGGCGATAATTACCGATCATGACTTTACTGAATGTGATTTTCCGATCATCTACATGAAACTCTTCCGATTGTGACTATCGATTGTGAGTATTCCCTGAAAGTGATTTTACCGAAATAGACATTACATATTCATTGAAAGCGGTTGAAAGTGACTTTACTCATCATTGACATTCCCGATTGTGACACTTATCAACTTGTAACTGTAAATTTATGTCAACTGTGCATGTACATAATGGTGTCTTGGTTCAAGTATGTATGGATAAACGGAGTCTGAACCCTGGTAGGGCGTCATGTAAATGCGATAGGAACAGTTTTTCTGTGCGAGTCTTAAACTAAGTTACTATTAATTTAAAGAAAAAATGCTTGTTGAAAAAAAAAGTTGAGTCCGCAATGGAGGGTCAAAATTTTACGTAGAAAAAAAATCTTTCAAAATCATGTCTTTAAAACTAATGTGATACTACAATGAAATCATTTTGATCCAATAGGGGCTATATGTTGAACATAAAAATATCTAGAGTGAAATGAGAAAACTCATTTATACAAGCATCTTTTACTTCATTGTCCAGATTTATGTTTGACTCCATAAAGCTGATTATATAATGGCTTTTGTTGCTCAGGTGAGCGATGTGGCCAATGGACATCTTGTTCAGTGGGAGGGGTGTATGGTGCCTTGAGCAATTTAAACTTAATGTATACAATCCCTGGATCAAGTTTAAATGTTATGTAGCCAAACAAACCACTAATGTTTGGATAATACAAATAAATAAATGTTAATATATGACATTTTTCGCTGTCTTTTAGATTTAAAGTTGTTCGTATTCACTCTTATCTGGAAAAGCATGCTGTATGTTTAAATTCATATACCTGTAAAAGAAGACAGATAATGGATTTACCTATTCCGATTTTGCAGATTAAGAATGACAGTTCAGATCTGCCAGACATTCCTGTAACGGTATGTGTGACATTATGAATGTACATTTCATCTTTCAAAGTCAAGAGTCTCTGATTCGATCCACACTTATGTATAGCGAAGCAAGTCAGAAGCTTATGCTTATTTATGAAACATTAATATTCACATGTTAAATTTTGTCCCTTACTTTACCATTAAAGGACACAGATGAAGGCAAATGTACAGATGAGAATAAGGTAGTTATTTTTTTTAATTTTTAGCTCACCGAGACGAAGTCGGGGGGAGCTTATGCTATACCCCTGGCGTCGGCATCAGTGTCCGGACCTGGTTAAAGTTTTTGTTGCAGGTCCAGTATCTAAGTTATTACTTGTCCTATCTTCACCAAACTTGCATGGATGATGCATCTGGACCTACTTAATGACTTGAAAGACTTGGCTGCTGAATCTGGGCCATGAATTTCAGATGCTGGAGGAGGTTAAGGTTTTTGGAGCAGGTTAAAATTTTTGGTGCAGGTGCCCTTTGATAGCAATTTCTAAGTTACTACTGGTCCTAACTTCACCAAACTTGCATGGATGGTGCGTCTTATGATACTGATGCACCAGACAGGCTTGAATGCTGAATCTGAGCCATAGGTTTCGGATGCTGGAGGAGGTTAAGGTTTTTGGAGCTGGTTAAAGTTTTGGGAGCAGGTGCCCTCTGATGATTATATCTTAGTTATTACTGGTCCTAACTTCACCAAACTTGCATGGATGATGCGTCTTATGATACTGATGCACCTGACAGGCATGAATGCTGAATCTAAGCCATAGGTTTCGGATGCTGGATGAGGTTTTGTTTTTTGGAACAGGTCACATGTTTTATAGGTAATAGTACTGTACTATTTCAAACTTGCATAGTTGATTTAACTATAATATAAACTATTTCTAATTGTAACGGGGACCGTTACAGATGTTCCCCAAACGCTCCCCAACTCCCTTTTTGTGCCAATTTCCTTTAAAACTTTTTTTTTAAGATGCTCAGTTATCGCAGGATTTCATAAAAAAAATTTAAAAGCTACAATGATATTTTTTGTCATTAAACGCATTGCACGCAAACGCACGTGCATACACATGCAAGGTGATCATTGCATGTTGTCTAAACTATTAACATATCTTTATATTCTATAATATAGCTAAGAATCAATAAAAAGTCATAAAAATATAAATGTTACCGTTTTTCAAATACATTGTTCATTTTTCGCATTGCACTTGCGCAAATACATGCAAGCACGCCCTTGCATTCAATCTTGATAGTAGTATCATGTAGGAATTCATTATTTCTATTCATATTCTAAATTTCATCCTGTTCTGTTGAGAAACAACAAAGTTATAGGCATCTAAAGTTTCAGCCAATCAGATTGCAGCACACGTAAATTAACATGCTTTTATGATAATTCTTATATTTCATGCTGTAGATCTTCATAATGTATGACTATGTTCAAAATGTCAAAGGATTATGACGTAAAACAAGAAAGATATTGAGAATTTAGTTTCAGCCAATCAGAGCGAAGCACACGTGCATGCGCATAAGATCTTGCTATTTTGACCACGTCATCTTGTTGATACTACTAATATATCCATACATTGTGAGTTTCAAAAAATTCCATCAAGAAATAGAAAAGTTAAGGCTTCATTCATTATACTGGTAATTTCACATGTTGCACGTGCGCGCTCTTGCCAGCACACGTGCATGTGCGTGCTTTCATGAACATTCTTATATATCATGCTGTAGACCTTCATAATGTGTGACTAAGTTCAAAATTTCAAATGATTATGACGTAAAACAAAACAGATATTGAGACTTTAGTTTCAGCCAGTCAGAGCGAAGCGCACGTGCATGCGCGTGAGATCTTGCTATAATGACCATGTCATCTTGTTTATACTACTAATATATCCTTACTTTATGAGTTTCAAAACATTTCATCAAAAAGGTTACAAACAGTAATCTGGAGATGTTTTTTTTTATTTTCAACATTGGAATATCGCAAATGAAAATGGTGTCGTCAAACAGCCTTCAATGTCTTATCTATTCAAATCCCGACTATATAATAAAACAGTTATGGACTCTTTTGGTGTTGAATATGGTTTGTTATTCACCAGAAAAATATCCATATTGACCTCAGCTTCGCCTCGGTCAATATGAATATTTTTTTTGGTGAATAACAAACCATATTCAACACCAAAAGAGTCCATAATTGTATAATATCACATGATATTGTATCATATGATATGATACAATGTTGTATCAAATTATATTGTATCAATTGATACAATATCATATAATGTATCAAATATGATATAATATCATACTATATTATACAATTTAATATCATATGTTACAATATTGTGATGTATTATGTGATATGATATTGTATCATGTAATACTATATTGTATCATAAATAATGATATAAATTGTATTATGTGATCAAATACAATAATGTATACAATAGGATACAATGTCATATCATATGTTACAATATCATATTGGATCATTATTTATAACAGTATTATATTGTATAATATGATATAAATTGTATCATAGGATGCAATATCATATTTTATATTATTGTATTGATAAACATTGAATCTTATAATACTATAAAATGAACATATGGTTATCATGCAATTTTTTAACATATGACAATACGATATTGTGTCAAAACAGTATCCATGAATATCCAAGATCATTAACAATGATTTTTATATAATATGATAAAGTTGGTCTCAAAAAGGTGATGCTTACCCTTCATAAAGGTGATGCCTCGTCTCGGTGAGCTTTGTAATCTGTGATTACCTATGTTTAAACTTTATAAAGGTACATGTGTACTTAATTCAAGGTCTTTTACATGAATGGTAGAAATGTGGGTGTTACTTTTCACTGCTTCTCCAAATTATCGTAAGACAGTCGGTGTTAATTTTAGATTAGGTAAAGGTATGATCAAGCATGACAGTGTCACCTGAATAAACAACCCATTACTCTGGTCCCGTGTCTAACGCCTGGGGCCATTTAAATGACCTAGTAGGTGTTAATTAGGTGACGCTTGCCTGTACACAGCCACTTCAAGGTATCAATAGTAAAAAACAATAGATTATGAATAACAGGACCCTAGACTCATTTCGAGCGATCAAGAACTTTGAGCCATCAAGAGTTTCCTGTATATGATTCCATAAAGCTTTCAAAATTTAGAATACACATAATGTTTATCTATTTATACAGAGAGATGATGATGATGAGATTATGAAAGAATTTGAGGAGGTTTGTATTTTCTCTTCCTCTCCGATTTTCCCTCTGTATTCTCTTTCTAATGCTAGCTTGTTCTCTCTCTCTTTCTCTTTCTCTCAGCTACTGACCTTACCCTGTGTGGTGTCCAGAAAAACAATATAAGCTCCACATCTTTCCCTGCTTGCTTTATTTTGATATTTTCCCTGAATTATTACAGATGATGCAACAGAGGCAGGAAAGGCAGTTGGTAAGCATAATTGACATAGGTTTGTACTGTGTGTGTCCAGCTCATAAGAATTAAAATACAAAGTTTATACTGTTACTGTGCTAGTAGTAAATCAAGTTTCCATGCATTTGTGCAAACTATAAACTAGTAATTAGATATGGTGTGATATTTCAGTTGTCAAGCAATTTTTTTATGATCATAATGATTTCAATTGAAAAGTATTGTAAAATATGTTCAAGATTCATTTTTGAATTAAGTCTGTTTTTGATAAAAATAATGAAACTAATTAAAAGGAAAAAAACTTTATCTTCTGAATCAAGACAACATGATAAAATGATCATCCCTCTATCCTGGAAAACAGTAAAGATCACAATAATTAGGTGCTATTCATGGAAGAAATGTGAAATACAGAAGTTTATATCTTCTAGAAAATTGCAGGCATTTCTCAAATGCTTTTCTAGTATTTGTCAATGTTGGTTGGCTTTTCTTTCAAATGTCTTAATATGTACAAGGTTTTGAAAATTAATTTTTGATTATCCAAGCAGAAGAATCAGTGGAGCTGTCAAACTATAATGGATAATTAATTTTCATTTATTTCAATTCTAAATGTTTATAAAATTTAATTATGGTAAAAATATAACCCCCCCCCCTCAAAAAAAAAAAGAAGAAATTATAAATGTTTTATGTTGGACTTATTTCAAACTAAACAATAGATTTCTTTTTGAAGTTCGCACAGAGTTCATTCCTATACTTTCCAACCAAAGATGAGCCCCAGGTTCAATTCTGCGTTGTGTACGAGAGCCATGGGGGTCTTGCAATTAACAGGCCATTCAAACTGAATGATACAGTAAAGGTATGTCAAATAGAATGGAGGGGGTTCAAGCTAATACACATCACACTTTTTAACATGATGGGCTGAAGATCCACATATGGAATCTTTAAGTTTGACAGGTACGCAAATTGTTATCATCAGTGTAAGAAGAAAAAGTTTTATATTAATTTACAAAATAAATACCAGTGAAATATATATGGTTTTTAATTTTCACTTTCATACACATTGATGAGCAATGCCTGTGAATAATGAAGAGTTTAATAAGTTCATATAATTAATTAAAGCGTAACACTGTTCGTAAATAGGTATTGACAGCCGTATATCTATTTCATCGCCACTATCTCTACAGCCCAAATATAAGCCGCAGACCTCTTACAGTTTTAAGTATTTTGCTGTAGAGGTCTCACCTGTGTGGATGTACCACTTGCCTCGCTGTGTTACTTGGTCGCGATGAAATTATCAAATGTTATGCTAAATGGATAAACTCAGGTGACCTATTGCTATCTGTTTTCGTCCGTCGTCGTGCGTCGTGTGTTAACATTTGAACATTTTTAGCTTCTTCTCTGAAACCACTGAACCAATTTCAACCAAATTTGGCATATAGCATGTATGGGTGAAGGGGAACAAAAATTGTGAATTTCACGGTCCCTGTCCCCCTGGGGCCTGGGAAGTTGGTCAAAAACCACTAAAATTAGTGCAATCTTTAAAAATCTTCTTCTTTACTCCTGGACATCAAGTAGTTAAACTGTTGGTATGATCGTAATCAGCATTGAGTTCTCTACCAAAATTGTGAAATTTATGGCCCCAGGGTCAGGGGTTCTTGTGCTAGGGCGGGGCTAAACAGGTTATATAGTGAAAATGCATTATTTCTTTGAAATTCTTCTTTTCTGTTTGTGAGCATTAAATAAACTAACCAAGTGCAAAGGTAAGTTGAAAATGACCGCCTTTTCCAAAATTGTGAATTTCATGGCCCCAGGGTCAGGGGCTCTAGTGGTAGGGCGGGGCTATATAGATTATATAGTGAAAATGCATAAATTCTTTGAAAATCTTCTTTTCTGTTTGTGGGCATTTAAAATAAACAAACCAAGTGTATAGTTATGTTGAATAAGACTGCCTCTTCTCAAATTGTGAATTTAATGGCCCCAGGGTCAGGGGTTCTAGTAGTAGGGTGGGGCTATATAGATTATATAGTGAAATTGCATAAATTCTTTGAAATTCTTCTTCTCTGTTCATGGGCATTAGATAAACTAATCAAGTGCATGGCTATGTTGAATAAGGCTGTCTCTTCCAAAATTGTGAATTTCATGGCCCCAGGGTCAGGGGTTCTAGTGCTAGGGCGGGGCTATATAGATTATATAGTAAAAAATGAATTATTTCTTTGAAAATTTTCTTCTTTGCTCCTGAGTATTAAATAAACTAACCACATAATTACATAAGTACTTAATTATGTTGAATAAAGCTACCTCTTCAAAAATTGTGAATTTCATGGCCCCTGGGTTGGGGATTCTGGCGTTAGGGTGAGGCTTTATTGAATATATAGTGAAAATGCATAAATTCTTTAAAACTCTTCTTTTCTGCACCTGAGCATTTAACCAATAAACTATGTACATAGTTATGAGGAGGAATGCCTCTTTGAGATTTTTGAATTTCAGGGTCCCTGGGTTAGAGATTCTTGTGTTAGGGGGTGGGGGTGGGGGGCTCTGATGTTTATATAGTGAAAATGCTTGAATTCTTTGAAAATCTTTTCCTTTGTTATTTGATATGATGCCAATGATCTTAGTATATATTTATGAAAAAACTGCTTCTTCCAAAAATGATTAATTTCCTGTCCCCTGGGGCAGAGGTATTTTGGGGTGGGGGGGGGGTAACATAGTCTGAAATAATTTAATGCTTTGAAGTTTGCACTTTGGTATTAATCAACAGCATGATGAAATAAACTTTTTAAAAATTTCCAAAATTTCGAAAGATGTGGCCCCAGGGTCAGTGGTTCCTGTGGGATGGGGAGCTCAACTATGGACCCGCCCTAACATAAGAAGCCCTGACCCAGGGGCCATGAAATTCACTAAAAGTGGAAATGCATTTTCTCTTTGTTGCTCTGATCTACCTCTGGGTTTTAAGTAACCAAAATTAGCATGCTGAGTGTATAATTATGATAAGCAATGGTGCCTCTTTCAAAATTGTAAATTTCATGGCCTCTAGTTTAAGACATGAATCAAATTCAATTGTTGGAAAGTTGTTGCATGATACTCAGGTGACCTATGAGGCCCATGGGCCTCTTGTTATGAAATTATTGGGCTATAGGCTTCAAAATGTAATGTTATCACAGACAAAGAGAGTTGAAAGTGTAAATATTTAGAAATAGAATATGTACATAGAAAAGAAATAAATGCATAAAATCCAAAGACCACGAAAGGAAAACTACACATCAAAACTACACGTCGAGTTTCATGTGTGCAATTGGGTGTAACTTATTTGAATGGTTTATATAACTGTGTGATGGTGCCCATTTACGAGTAGGGTTCAGCTTTAAATTGCCCTTTCAATAAATCTTATAGGTATAATCCCTGTTTGCCCTCAATAGATTTGATGATTTGGATTAAAATTTTTAACTTACTTGCAAGGTTAATTGTATTATAATGAGTAATTAATGCAGTGCAAATCAACACAAAGTACAACAAGTCGTGCAAGTTATTATTAAGTAATTATTTTATATTCTTTTCAGAGCGTTTTCAGCTGGATATGCGTGGAGGTCGATCCTGAAATTCTCCCCCCCCCCCCGTTTTCCACTTGGAGTGTCGCACACCCACCAACTGCCCTAACCCCAGTTGCCCGCACATTTATGAACTAAAAAACAACTTCAAAGTGAAAGTGGGGGACTTGCCAAATATATTATACCTGCGTGAAGGGGTAGGTATTTCAGAAACCATCATTAATTGACAATGCCCACTAAGAATTGACAATGCCCACTAAGAAAATGCATTTTATACTTGCATATACATTGCTATCACACAGTAAGGTTCCTTATCATTTTGTAATGAAAAGTTGAACACAAGCAAGAATTGCTTTTTGCATGAACAGACATAAATTAAGTCTCATAAAAGAATTGATATAAAATTTGAATGAAATTACATGAGGAAATTTATTCTTCTCTCTTTTTTTTTAGTATTTTGCCACAGAAGAAACTTTCACTGGATTTGGGGATGTTCTCATGTAACAAGAGAATATAAATTTGTAGCAGTTTTTTTTTTCTTTTCCCCATCACATTTGTATAGAGTACCATTTTTCATTATTGAGCATTTGATATCATTATGAGCAGAGTTTATTTTTCATAGACAGCAATATGGCTGCTTTGTATCAACCATTAATAGAGCGAATAAAAAAACAGAAAATATTATCAATGCATGGATTTGGAAAGGATTAATGTTTGGAATGATCCTGTACAATTTAATAAACATAAGAAATAACACAATATTCATTTTCTTCTTTATTATATCTTATTATTATATCAGTGATCAACTGTTTATCCTCAAATTGAATGTAAAAAGTGGGTATCTTGACAGAGGAACTATTAAAAATGAATCAAGGTCAGATATAACCAATGTACTATTATTTTTGTTCTCCATCGCCCCAAAGGGAATTTTTCACTAAATCCACTTTAATGTGGATAAAAGTACACGATCAAAATACACCTTTTTAGAATTTTAAAATGGTACCTATTTGACCAAAAAGAGTCTTTAAAATATTTTTGGAAAAGTCAAAATTATAAAAGCCCCAGCAGTATTGGAACTCGTGACATGAAAGATTTGTAGACAAACCGATTGTTATATACCGTTTGATAACAATTATGGGTAAGGAATGATTCATAAAATTATACTTGATTCTTCTGGTATATTTTGATCAGAACAATATCCAAAATATGGAGGCATCCCATTACACCTGAACTTTTTTTTTATTTTGATACTGAAATTTTGACCTTTACAGAGTATCAGTTCACTAATCCTAGTTTCAGAATCTGATTCATTCAAGTATTAATCACTTTCAAATAATCGTTAATCCAACATCTATTTATATTATTATATTGCTTAATCTAGGTTGAAGGACTTACAGTAAAACTCAAATACAGCTTTTTTTTATTATAAATTCATACTTCATTAAAGCAAGTTTTATTAATGCATTGGTAAGTTAAGTAGATGTATTGAAATAACCAACCAAAATCACTTATACATGGTGCTTCACTGTAATCATGTACTTGGTTAGAACGTGAGTTTTTGGCCAAAAAGTTTCGTTTGAAATTCAGTCAAGTTAAACATTAACTTCATTACTATCAAGCGGCATGGTCTCGCTTATGGTCAAATTTGATATTTCTGCTTTCATTTTTAACAATGCTTTAAAATGCATTTCTAATTATAAACCAACTTTGAGCGTCAGTTACAGATATGAGCAAGATACAGATCTCAAATTTTTCTGTCATGTAAACAAGGCTCCGGTCATGTTTTTGTTTCCATTTGGTCAAAATAGCGAAAAAAGATCTTTTTCAAACTGATTTTCTTTCTTCTGATTAGTTTTGAACATAAACAAGTAGTTTCTAGCATTTGTCGGATTCATTTTAGGTCTAAACCTGGAAAATTCAAAATGTAAACAAAAACATAACTCGAGATTTGTTTACATAACAAAGAATTGTGTGCTATGTATCTCACTTACAACTTGACGACCGATGTTCAAATTTTGGTTGAGCATTAGAAATGCCTTACTTAAGTATTTACATTATAACTTTTTAAGCACTCTTCAGTAGTGTCACATTGTCAACAAGTTGTGAAATTGTTATCTGGGAGGCATAGTAGTAAGTTGCAGGACTCTTTAAATTTGCATTCACTGGTTAAACTCCCAAGTAATATAAAGAACATTAAAAGAACTACTGGATAATATAAATTAAAATTCAATGCATTGATATTTTTTTTATTGTTTTTTTTTTTCATTTGTACATGTTTTACAATTCCCATCCCGTATAATATGTTTCCTGATGATGTACAATGTACATGTACTTGATGTGTACAAACAGATGTTCATAATTAAACATACACAACCCAGAATTTATAGAATATATTATTAATTATAAGAATAGGATATAAAATACCCGAAAAAAAAAAGCAAAAAAATTAATGATATATTTGGTGTTCCAATACATCTTTGAGTGCAATATACATAGTTCTGGCTTCTAATATTGTTGAAGGACGGTAATAGTCTGAGATGATGTCAAAAGCTTCCTTAATGTCATCATCCAAGTCATTTTGAAAGCAGCATTGAGATTTCAGAAAATGAAACCGCTCATCATTAACATCGATATAATGAAGATAATTTTGGCACTGTGGATTGTCTGAAATAAAAAATGAAATAAAACATCATACACAATTAACTAAACATGTTTTTCAGTTTTCAATATAAAATTCCTTTGGAAAAATTCTTACATTTTCATAGGAAAATACTTTGTATATATTAAATCATTTGTGACCTTGTTGTTCTTAAACGATGTGTTTCATAGGACATAGGTAAACAATTGCAATCTTTTTCTCTTATAAAAGTATTACAAAGCGAAACAAGTCATTTTCTTGTGGGTTAAGCATCTTTCAAAGTCAAGACTTTCTGATCCGCTCCGCTCTACATAAACCCTTGACCGAATAGGCAGTGTTTGGCTGGGTTAGAAACCTCGCACGCTGGTTGGTGTCATACAAGTTTGCATGATCCAATAAGAAACGTGGTTTCAATAATGATGTTAATTGTGCATTGATCAATGTTGAATCATTGTCAAATAAATTTGAGACGAACTGCCTATTCGATCAAGGGTTTATGTAGAGAGGAGCAGATCAGAAACTCTTGACTTGGAAAGATGGGGTTAAGAGGTTATATATACATGTATGTCAACATATTAAATGATCTTTTAAAAAGAGACTTTAAATTTCATGCATTTTTAATTCCAACAAATTTTTAACTAAAAGATACTCTGACAGGGACCAAAATTTTAACTTTCTTTAATTGTTACTATAGATATATACATGTACATGCTACTTTAACACAAGAGGAATGGGGAAATGTCTGGTATAAAGCTTTTTTTTGTAACACAGTTCCTCGTAAGCAACTTATGATGAAATTTCTTGATTTTAAGTTCATTTATACACAATTTTCTATGAGAAAAAAAATCAGTTAACAAATGTACAAAAGTCTGTTGATCCAGCATTGTAGTCTTTAACAGTGTCCACAAGAGTTACATATAAAAAATTGAATCTAAAGAACTTTCAAATACAAACCTATTTTTACTTTCAGCAAAAAAAATATGTGAACCGAAATTTGATCACTTTGTAAATGATTCCAGAATCAAAACAAGTAAACTGACCTAACATTTCAGGAACATGATAAAGGAGCTCAGGTATCCCAGGAACAATATCACCTGATTTTTGTTTCCTGATTCTGTGGTTATTCCAGGCAAATTTCACTTCTTCCAATTCTTCTCTGATAATCTGCATGTACCAGTACTGAACTAAAGTTCTGAAATGAAACTTGATATTAGTTTCTTGGCCTCAAACATGGATCTGATTGGTTCATTAGCTTTTGATACTTTTGATATTGAATTTAAACCACACATATTTGTGTGATATACTGACAAACCGGTAGCAACTGACAAAGCAAAGACAACAGAAAATATAAACAACAAGAGGCCTTGAGAGTCACTTGAGTCCCATAACCCTTAGATTGACATGTCAGAGTCTCATGTTTGCATTTTCAGCTTCATTTTGAGTTCTAAACCCTTATCTTAGAGTCCTATGACTGTTACCTTGCCTTTATTATTTTAGATTCATTCACATGGGGGAGTAGTTCAAGAGTCCGAGGAATTTTGAATTGTCTATACCTTTATAGCTACAGAGGCCAATTTTTTTTTTTATTCTATTAATGATTGAATAGTTAGCCTATTTAATCTGTTGGTTATTTCTAAGTAAAAAGCAAACTTACATATGAAGAGCATCACCAATTGTAAAATGACCATCTTTTTCTAATTCCTGAAAACCATAAGAAAAATAAATAGAAAAGCAGAACAATATTGCCTAAACTTGAATACCCATCTTAAACCATTTTTTTTACCCAATCCTTTGTTTATTTTTAGCTTTTATATTTAGTATATATTATCCAGTATGATATACATCTACTCCATTTTTCACAATCAGGAATCAAAACAAGATATCTGTGAGCCAATGCTCACTAGTAATACCACCGCTCTAATGTGAATATACAAAATAAGCAAAGTGGACTTAAACAGGAAGTTGACCTCCAAAAAATGTGTACAAAAATATATCCAAGTGTATAGAATTCCTAAACAAATAGTGTGTTAAAATTTTAAGCACCTGCAATGAATAGTTGCTGAGAAAAATACGACAAAAATTTTTGTTATGGACAGCCAGACAGACAGACACACAAGGGTAAAACAGTATACCCCCTTCTCCTTCAGAGCGGGGGTATAATTAATGCATTTTATCATATTAATAACTGGTAACCACAAATCACATCAGATATGATCAGAACATACACTATAACAAATTGCACTGCACTACATTAAAAATCATATTCTTCACAATCTAAAAGTTAATTCTTGATCATCCGAACTACATAGGAAAAAGGTTCATAAAACTAAACCTTGACCGTCAACCTCCTCCACACCCCTTGAAAAATTTCTGCATCTGAGTCGGTCAATGCATTCTTTGTTTTGGTTGGCTTAATCATTTCATCAAATGATATTGTAATTTAAGTCATATCAAAAGTTGGCACAACATTCCCACCCTCCATATCCAGATTATCACAGTGTTAATATATGCAGTCCATCTTTTACATCCTTAAATATTGTTAAATAAGAAATGCTCTCCCCAATAAAGAATGAGATGGTGTTGCTTAGTAGAAGAGTGAATGAATATGAAATTTTTACAGCACAGCTATATAAACCTCCTGCATATCCATTAGGTGAACAACAGAAAGTTCTATGCAACACTGGTTTTATTGTTCAAAGTTAAGAAATATATTTATCAGCATTGTCAACTGCAGGTTAACTTGATTGTGTCCATTCTTAAAACAATGAAGGTAATGTTTTAAGTTGGATATTAGCCTCAAGCTGTCCATTCTGTGAGAGAAAGAAGTAATCTCGGCCCTACAGGCCTTGATCAGTTTTCTCTCACAGAATGAACAGTGTTCGGCTTATGTACTTTACTTAAAGGATGGAAAAAATACTTGTATTTTTCTAACCTTAAAATGATGAATCCATTGATCTGTGCATTTTCTTCTCAAAATTCCCCACCATCTCTCTATCCTCTTCAATAAAAAACATTAAAATTTAGAAGCTAGGTTGCAGATTTAATATACAGTCATTCAGTCAAAATTCAAAGTGAAAGGGCAGTGCTTTTAAATCAGTCAATAACCACTAATATTGGGATGGGTTTGAACAACTTCACATATGACACAATGACACGACCTGTGGTAAATTAGGTAATAGTTAATAATAAACATTCCTTGATTATGAGTGGATTTTCCATAGAGGAAGGATTTCTTGCTGAAGCAGTCATCATCATCTTCTCTCAAGAAGTTTTGAATGGCAGCTACTGTCCCATTCTCTGTTCCTTAAAAAATATGTGGGTATTTCAAACAGGGATATAAAGAAACAAAAAGGTAGTTTACACATAAAATCAATAAAAAGAATTCTAGGGTACAAAAAAATTACCCTCAAAAGATGAAGGCCGAAATCTCACAATAAAATTAGTTTCAAAAGCATGTTATCTTCTATAATGGGTAATCAATTTCACCCAAGCTCAACTATTATTTAATTTTTTTAAAGTTGAAGTATCAAGACCAGAGAATAACAAATCATTAGTTTATAAACTAGACATAATTGAGATAGTCGTCTCAAAAGGACTGGATAAAAAAATGGACATAAGGATGAAAAGTTTTTCAGAGAATTTGCTTTCACCTTAGAAATATTTTCAGTTGGCATAGAACTTTTAATTCAATCTCATTAATCACACAACCTTGACCACAGGCAACCAGTGGTTGCAGTATAACTTAGATTAAGATTTAAGAAGGTATGCTCCTGACCAGAGTTTTTTTTTTGGTTTTTTTGACATACTGCAAGCCAACTTTTATTCGCGTGCGAGAAATTTTCGCGAAGTTTGCGAGACCCTCGTCATCGCGAATATTTCTCACCGCGAACCGGTCATTATGGTCTATGTGTTTATTAACAAGAGAACCTAAATAGGCGTGATCGCGAAAATTAATCGTCGCGAACTTGTTTACCCCTGGTAAATCGCGAAATAAAGTCGTCGCGAATAAAAGTTGGTTTACAGTAATTCTAATAGGACATTCACATCTGACCTTGAAAGGTTCAAGGTTAATGCACACCCTTTAACTTAACAAGATGCCCACAGGTCTTGATGGTCACCCAAGTACCATAGCTCTTAGATTGATATGTCAGTCTTATGTTTTCATTTAAAGCTTCATGTTGAAGTCTTAATGCTAATCTGAGACTCTTATGTTACCCCACTTTTATTATTCGTTGTTTAAAAAACACTTTTTTTTTAATGAAAATGTTGATGGGGTGGGAGTGGAGGATTGTACCTGTTTGACAGCAGCCCACCCATAATTTTCACCATTTTAATAACAGGACTTTTCTTTTGGAAAACTCATTTAAAAATTGCAGGTTCACATATTCAAATGGTTTTCCAAAAATGCACAAATTTTCATACTATTCTATGCAGTAGGAAAAAAATCTATAGGATGGGGGAAAAATTTGTCCTTAGAGACGAACTGGATGATTCCAGCATACCTCCTTTAGATTTATTTGCAGGGGTATCTATGTTATTACTAGCCTGACAAATCAATAACATGATTTATTCCTCTCTCTCTCTTTTTTTTTTTTTAAAAATCACACTGTATGGTTTTAAAAAAAAACTGACCTGCATCTCCTCGAATAATATGTGGAAATCCTACAAATCAGTATTCAATATGTATATACATCAACATTAATAGATGCAAAAGGTAAAAAAATATTACAGAAAACAAGCCATCTTGCTTTAACTCCAGAAATCAAATGAGATATTGTCTTCAATATGTTCATTTAACAAACCAACTCTTCCAAATCTTTGCACTGAATTACATGTACCTTTAACATTCTCCAAAGTCTTCAAAAAGTACCCTGCAATCTTTTTGGGGTTTTTATTGCTGACACCAGCTTCCACCCAAAGCACATAGCGGGAAAACCTAAAATTACAATGGAACATGTAAGATTTGTAAGCTTTTGCATTACCATATTCACCTCTGGGTGGAGAGAGTGCACTAGTAAAGTAACTTGCCCAACGTAACCGCAATAGTGACAGACTAGACTCGAACCCGGGGCTAAATCTGTCAACGCTATCAAATGCGCCTACATCTCTAGGGACATAGTAAAAAGTATAATTAATAAATTCCCAACATTTTATGTTTACCTACCCATCAATGCATCCACTGATATATATCCCAAAAGGGCTCAATTTATCATACTGATCTACAATTATTAAAAAAGATACTAAATATCATACAGTTTTTAATTTAAAAATCTATATACACCATAAATGATTCATTCTGCTGTTTACTGGCATTCATTGATCAGCAGACTTCACCAATGTATTTGAAATATACGTACATTGCAATGACTGGTTTCAAAGCATAGAAACTAAATATATTTATATATTTACATTACACGTGTATATGTTGCTCATGTGCCACAGTACTTTACATGTATCATAATGCATGAAAATAAAATACTAAAATGAATTAAATTTGATTTAACAACTTTAATAACAGAGATTCATTTTGAAAATTGTCTTCAGGAGTCCAAAGGCCCCCTTTTAACCATAATTATGAGTCCCAAGCCGAAAACAACAAGTCCATATTTATTTTACATAGAACATGAATATCAAACAAGCTATGCTTATCTAAACTAAAATTTTAAATGACCATACTAAGAGACAGGCAAAGTGCTGTCACTGGGACCCTTCAGAGTTTCGCCTGTTTCTTTATCGCCTGTATCAATAGCCATTTATTGCACGTTCTGGATCAGCGTTCCTTTTAGCATGAACCTCTTTGTTGTTATTAACTGCCACTTGTCTACTTTTTCATAAACCCTGGTTAATATATCCTGGATCCAGAGTAATTTTATCCGTTTTATTCGGTAGCATCATGATCAACATCAACACGGTAATGTCATGTATCATTGGATCTCATTGGTTAATTACTAAGTGTTGACCTATGAGATTTCTGCTTTTGTAGAGTGTTTTAATTCGGAATATTTCGGGCATCTAGTTTGTAGGTTAAGAAAGGAACTTCTTAGCGAAAAAATGGGCATGTGTATTTTTAAAATGGGATGCACAAACAGTGAAATTATGTGTACTGAGCAAATTTTGTGTATATTTTATGCAGGACGCACCACGTCAAAATGAATCACTGGCTAAAAAGTTTAAAAAAAAAATCCATTTGCAATTTGTCATAAAAATGCTAACTTACCTATATGCCAAAGCCAATTGGGACTTGTTAAATTGCAATGACAAGGATTCAACAAAATATTATCTTATTAATCCAAATGTAGTACATGTATTGAACAAAAATTATAAACCATAACTTTTTGCACATGTAACTCTACATTCAAGGTAAATAATTATGAAAAACCTTTACTAAGGTACTGTCTTCGTTTCAGTTTGTTTCCCTTTCTGAGGGACACGCCGACAGGGTCTAGTGTTCTCATTATTTGCCTCACCAATTCTCTATCAAAAAAGTAAAAATTAATACACTTTTTCCACATTCTCTGTGTACCTGCAACTGTGTGTAACCAAGGAGAAATATTCTTAGTGTTAACTATATAATGATAGTTAAAAAAGTCTACTTTACCTTCGAACATTGCACCCATGGGTTGTTTTCAATCTGAAAAACATGTCAGATATACTTCGATCTGGTTTTATTTTCACTTCATTCTGAAAGTAAAAATAACACACAAACACATTATGCATGCATTTTTATTTATATATTCTCTCTCCCTCCACACACAGGCACGTATGTGTGTGTACATTGAATTTACCTTTATAAGATCCAATACTTCAGCAAAATCTGTCAGGTTTCTATTTCCTCTTCTGTAATTTAAATTTAATCTTGGCATTACTTTTCTCTTCAGATATTGGAAACTGGAAGAAATAGAATTTTAAAGTATTTTATTCCTTTCAGTGAATAAAAAATGTATTTTTATTAAAATTACTTAGCCTTAATTAGCATGTCATTGACATACCAACACACCTTTATTTTAGAAGGTTAGTGGTAGCAGCAGCATTGCACAGTGCATATTCAATACAAAAGCACGAGGAAAGAGATGCAACTACTCTGGTATTTAATATTCAAACATGTAGCATCATTTTTCGAAGTGGAGAAGAAAAAAGGGGGTGGCGGTAGTCTCCTTATATTTTGAATTTGATTTCAATATACAATTCCTTCACTTTCTTTTAAGCTGTTCAAACAATGTTGGAGGAAGGAGGGGTGGGTAGCTTCTAGCTATAAAATCTAATTTCTATTGAATAAATTTTAAGAAAAGGTTGGTTGATAACTCTGTTCTTTTTATATGTATGCTTGAAGAATGGGTGGGGTTGATGTTGTTTTTGTAGTTATTTAAGAAATTGTTATTTTTCCTTCTTTTTAATCAAATTACATGTAGCTATATATACATGTACACACACATACCTATAGTTTTGACCATGTCTTATTTTCAGTAAAAAGTGAATTTCCTTGTGAGATAAACCTCTTCTGTGGTAACTTCTAATGATGTCTTTTAAATGTACAAAAATATACAACAAGCATTTATTTACTAGTCTGTCATAATGATAATGATCATAAAAATACAATATTTTTATACCAGTGAAACCGGTAGGGTACTAATAAGGTGATTGCTTAATTGGCATCAGCAAATACTTGCAGTGCCCAAGTTACAAAATGAATATTACTTACTTTCATCCATATTTCTGTGTCCTCATTTATGATGCACATACCAAATTAAACCCTGAAAATATAACCTATACCTCTCACAAAAAGTCAAGCAACAAACTCATTTTTATTCTTTTTAAAGGAAAAATTACTTGTAATTGAAGGTATAGCAACAAAACCATCTATTACAAGTTATTTCTCCTTTAAAAACATACCTATGAGATAGTTGCTTGACTTTTTGTGAGGAGTAGTTTTACACATGCTATTCAATCAAAACTTTATTGATCAAAGAATTCTTAAAACTCATGTAATACTACATACATCAAATAAGGCAAAATGGCAGAACACCAAGGGTGCGTTTGATGACATACCTCAAATATAATCATTATAAATTTGATCAGAAGTTGTTAGTTCTTTTGTAAAACATTGCTTGGATATTAGCCCAATTCAACATTACAATACTGTGTGCCAATTGTTAATATTACCTCTCAATACCTAAGCAGCTTTCTAAAAAAACTCTTATAGTTAAATCTAATCTATTTTCTTAATCAACGTTTGTCATAATAATGTAATTCATACACTTTTTAAACACATCATCGTTTCATAGTATCATTCTTTTTTGCTTACATTTAATTTGGCTCAGTTCCATATTCAAATAACTTTTACCATTAACATTGAGCTATGAATAGATTTTGAGAAAATTCTGCGAAAGAACAAACCCGATTTGTATATAAAAAAAATCCCGTCCAGTTTCACCAAAAAAGGGACTTATGAAATAAAATAAGAGTTTTACATTTATTATCTTTTATGCAGTACAAGTACATAATCTCTGACAAACTGAATACATTTCAAGCTCTAATAGTATTTCATATACATGATATATTTGTTTTTTATGAGTCACACACAATATCTGTATTCTGTTATCACTATAAATCTAATCACATATGCAGTAAAATGCTTGTCCATTAGACCAATATATTAATACAATGTAACCATAGCAATGACAAATGATATATTAGATGCATTTAAATTAATAAATGCATTGCAATTGGTTCAGCAAATAAAAAATTACCATAGTCAATTTGAAAATATATGCATAAATAAAGTTTAACAAATTAACTTTGTTATTAATAGAAGATTTAAGATAATCCAAGGAATTCAAATTGAAAGCTATTTTCCAAACAATTTATAAAGTTTAATAACTTTAAACGTGTAAAATGTCTGTCAGCAAAAATTTAAATTTAGCACAAAATTAAACCTTTAATTTGACCTCTTCTTGTATTTGTTTTGCTACCTACACTGTCAAAAAACTTAACTTCAGCCTTTGTATTCCTGTCAATCATTGTTTTTACACACTCTACACCATCCACCCCAAAAAAGACATTACTTCCACTAACATTTGCGACAATGGTATAAATTTTTTTCTTTTTTTATCTCTACAACATTTGGAAAAATTACAGGAAAATCAAAAACATCTCCAAGTTCCTCTCGTATTTTTAATTTAACAATACAGTCTTCTGAAAAAAGGGTAATTTCGACACACAATGAACAGTTTTTGGCACCAAAGAGAATAACTCCTGATAATCTAACATCTGAGTTTACAGAAAAAGCTAGTCGGTCACCATAAATGGCATCATATTCCCATGTACTATCCGGACTATGGAAAAAAAACCTATTCACTACACGGTCATTTAAAGAAATACACTTTCTTGGACGATATGTATTGTGATCAATCTCATCTTTCTGTGTAGATAAAGAGGTCATATATAACATGATTTTCAAAGCATAATCACTTTCTATAACATTTTTGTAAACAATATTTTCTATGAAAAAATCAATAGACATTCTTCCAAATCTAATGTGAGGAACAAGTGTATTCCAACAAACAGGTTCAGCTCTATTTTCAGATTTCATCCACATAACAACAAATTTGAAGAGTTTTTCTTCATGAATGCACATTGAGTCTCTTTTGATTAAAAGAATTAACAGATCTTTATGAAATGTACAAAACAAGTCTGCATTTTCTCTGATAGACATAATGTTTTCTAAATAATTGTCAATAAATGACAATGCAGATGACAAAACATTTTCTATGCTAAATGTAAAAGCCATATTCAGGATGGAAAAAACATTTTCAGATGATATTGAACAGAGCAAAAACTCTTCACACTTCTTTCTTAAATCAGGAACGATGTAGAAATCTGCAATTTGTAGAATGTCCTGTACATTTTCCATTGACAGATCAATATCTGTTTGGTAAAGAAACTTAATCATCGACCGTGTAAGGCCTGCAGAAAAATCACTGCAATTTACTTCATGGTTCCCTTTTCCACTGTTCCAATTTCCATTTAATCGGGTATGAAAGTATTGACAACCAATGACCAACACTAATGAATGTGCACACATGAAAGTTCCATCAGCTAGTGTGATACGTACGTCACAATGTTCTTCATTTTCAAACGCCCTCACAGTTTTCTGCCCAAGTTTTGCCATTCTGATAAAATTAGTCAAGTTAACATATCATTTAGTTCCGACTTTTACCCCTTTCCAATTGCAACCACATTGGTTACATTGGTTAATCAACTCTTATGTATTTAAGTCAGGTTACAGTTGTTGCTGGAAACTTAGGTTAAGAAATACATGTAAATATAGGTACTAAGGGTTAAAATTAGGTCAGTGCTGGGTATTGAGTAAATTGGGTTTGGATTAATTAGAGTTTAAGGTTAGTTATGGTTTTGCTTAGTGTTTGGGATTTGGGAGAAGGGTTAGGTTGGATTTATAATTAGTTAGGATTTGGGGTCAGGGTAAGGGTTGGGATTTAGATTAAGGTTAGTTGGGATTGAGATAAAGGTTAGTTGATTTTGGGATAAAGGTTAAGTTTGGATTGGGATAAAGGTTAGTTAGGGTGGAAATAAACGTTAGGGATTACTGTTAGTTAGGATGTGGGTTAGTTAGTGTTTTAGATTAGGGAAAGGGGTTAGGTTGGGAATATGGTTAATTGAGATTAATTGGTTCATTGGGGCTAGGGTAAGGATTGTAACCAATGTAACCGAATGACACTCTGCAAATCAGTTAAATTACAGCCATTATGTATATTATAAAATAGTTATAATAGAAAATATACTATATGTGTCGCCATTAAATCAGATACAACTAACCCAATCACAGGTACTTGGGTCGTGGTTTATAATATAAATATGTATGAGGGTTCATACATATTTATATTATAAACCACGACCCAAGTACCTGTGAACCCAATGCTACATTTTGTCACAAGAAATAAATAAAGCTGTAACATAAAGCTATAGCCATGGTAACTAAATAAAACAATATTACTGATCTAACACTTGTTTGTCATCTCTGTTACTAGTATTATTGTCAACATGAAAATGAGTTGTATAGATTTAAGTTTTGTAACATGATTAAATAAAGCCATTAAGTAATGTTGGGCCAAATAAAACAAAAATTTAGTCTTACTTCATGTTATCTTATTTATCAGAAAACAGTCTTGTTAATTAATGGTTAAAAATGAAATGGGGTTAAAGTCAGGACTAGCAATGAATTT